GGGTGTGGTAGAAGAAGCACGAGAGTAGAATCAACGCAGCAGAAATGCGGTCGTTAAGGAGTATGTTAGGGCTGAAACTGAACGACAGGGTAAGAAATTGTGTAATAAGAGAAGAGTGTGGTTTGCAAGATGATGTTGTGACCACGATTAAGAAAGGAAAGCTTCGGTGGTTTGGTCATGTGGAAAGAATGAATGAGGAAAGAGTGACAAAGAAAATTTGTTTTGCAGAAGTAAATGGCAGAGTCGGAAAGAGACGTCCTAGGCGAAAATTTATCGACCGAATTGGCGATTTATTAAAAACGGGCCAAATTAGGAGAATCCTTAATCGACGAGCATGTATGCGTAAGTGTATGGATGTGAAGGAGGCGAGAGAGGTGTGTCAGGATCGTGCCAAATGGAAGTCTGTAGTCTCTGCCTACCCCTCTGGGTGAGGCGTGAGTGTTTATGTATGTTTGTATGTATGTACTTTCGATGCTCCTCTACTACGAGTCTGAGGTCCCTTTACAGCCGCAGAACTTGTACATGTGCGACACCAATCTTCGACATCGTCACGATAATGGACCCAGTAAAACTGTTCTCGGATCTTCAGTAGAGTTCGTTTAACTCCCAGATGGACTCCTGAACAACCATTATGGTACAGCTGTAGAACATCTGGCACTTTAGATTTAGGGACAACCATTTGCAAACGACAGCTGTCTCCTCGACCATTGTACCATTTACGGCACAGTACTCCATCCTGAATCAGCAAGCTGTCCCATTGGGCCCAATAGCTTTTCGTGGTCGAACTCATCGCTGACTTTTGGCGAGACGTCGCTCCACTTGGGCTTGGGAGCACCTACCTTCATCCATCGCAGAACCGGCTTGATGTCCGGATCTTCCTGCTGTGCATGTTGTAAGTTGTCCTTCCACTCGTTGCTGAGGTGGTCTGACCTGAGCATCCTCTCTTCCTCCAGCTGGATCGAAGACGGCCCCTTTCCCCACAGCCATAGCACCTAGGGCTGTATCCATTATTGCGGTCGCGAACTGTAGCTGCTGCAAACTCCCTGACACGATGGCAACGATGATCCTGCCGCACGGCTTCCACCTCCAGTGCATGGGCCAAGGCGTCCTTAAGCGTCACGTGGTGCCCGAGCCTCACAGCAGCTCTGACTTCGAGGTAGCGTATGCCGTCGATGAATGTCTGCACTAGGTTCCCTTCAATGAGCGCAGGTACAGACCGGTATGCTTTTCGGACCAGCTTCTCCACCTCTAGAGCCCACTGCTGCAGGTTTTCGTTCATGCGCTGCACGCGATTATTAAGCTGTGAACGAAAGACGTGTTTCAGGTAAGCGTCGCCATATCTCGCCTTCAATGCCTTAAGGAGTTACTCATAAGTCACTTCCTCACCAAGAGCTTCCAGAACTGTTAAGGCCTGGTCACGCAGGCCTAGTGTGAGAACAGTCGTGGCTTGACTTTTATTTCAGTCGTTCGCCTTCATAACAGCCTCGAACTGGATTTTGTAGGCTGACCAGGAGGAAGTCCCGTCGAACGGTGGCACCTTGAACCAACGTGGTTGATGTCACTTGACATCAGGTGAGTCGCATACGAGTTTGCTCCTCTTCTATAAAAAAAAATTATATCAATTTCGCTATCTTTTGGTGACATTTTATACCTAACCAGCTTAACTGATTTTAATAAAATTTGTAACAAGCTGATCTGGTCTCAGGACTTTGTTGTTATTTTATGTTCTACGAGTTCTCGTATACTGATGGGACGAGTTGCAAATGGGACAAGATTCTTATGTGGAACGAGTTGCAACTGGATTGGAGGACTTGCTAACATCCGTCCAACCGTCAACTGGAGGAACCTGCTAACGACCCAGCTGAACTAATTTTGAAAAAATTTGTATTCTGTTGAAATGGTCTCAGAACTTTATGGTTGTTTTATACGTTACGTTACACAACCACGTCAGAGGCCTACTAGTCACCTGGTAGGTGGTTGTATAACTCTGACACCAGGGTTCATCGGATCGTTCGTCAACTCGCCATCTAGTATCGAATAGAAGAATTAAGCTTTCTAGAAGCCCCACTCGAAATTTCTGCGTCTGGTCGTTCAACGCTTGTATCTACTGGAATATTCCGGATGTTTCGGTGTAAAAGTGTATTTAAAGCCACTACATGCCGCGATTGGGGCAGTATTGAATTTCGCGAGACAAGCGAAGCTTCGGAGCGAAATAAAGTCAATCAGTGTGATTAATTAATGGTGTTTTTTAAGTTTTAGTTGGTGTTCGGTAATAAAAGTGTAAATTTTGGTAATTCAATAGTCAGTTTTTATTGTCACGAACCTCAAGCTCGTAACAATAATAATAATGTACCTAATTTCCTATTTGATAAATATTAATGACCATTGGTGTTTGTATGCGACGCAAAGCCAAATATAATTCAAATAATTTAATAAATATATACAACATGCCATGATTAATTTGTATTTATAGCTTTTAATAACATTTATTTTTTTGGTAACAATAAACTTACATACTATGTTAGTAGTGTCCGTTCCTTTGGCCTACCCATCTTCAAAACCCATAATTTTGCCGGTGTCAAAAACGGTATAAAAACTACCTATAACTGTCTCAAGATAGTCAGTCTTTCACACCACAAAGTTTGGTTTCAATTGTGGCCGGGCCAAAAGAACGGACACATGTCATTAACAAAAAAAAAAACACCCTTAACCCAAACTAAAACCAATAGTAACAAAAAACTTTTCACAATAAATTTTGAAAATAATCTGATATTAGTGCATCTCGTGCCTTATAATCTCGGGTAGATCCTGCATCCACAACAGAGGGTATCTGTCCATCATTTGTAATTTCATTCCAGGGGGCACGGGGGATAACTTCTGGATCATCTGGCGGTACTTGTTATCCTCGACGTCTCAAAATGTTGTGCCAAACAGCTGTAGCGATGATAAAATTCAGAATTCTTTCCAGTTTTATACGCATTCCAAATGCAAGCACAGGAAAGCGCCTCTTCGATAATCCATAGCTGCTCTCCACAGGATTTCGTGTCCTGATTTGTGATTCATTGTAGAGCTGTTCCACTGGTCCACTGGGATTCTCTAAAGGTGGCATCATGTATGAGGTTGATACATATCCCCCATCTACTACCAATACTGCATTACCATATGTACCAGATTCAAATTGTGCTTTCCTGTAACTATTGTTAAATATGTTACTATCATGAGATGATCCAGGTCAACTAGCTATTACATCTATAATCTTAAGATTAGCATTGCAGATTGTCTGCACATTTATAGAGAAATATCCTTTTCTATTACGGAATAATTCGGCTTATTCACCATTTACTTGTAACTGTAATGGAACAGAGGCAATTCGAATATGTGTGCAATCTATTGCACCGATTACTCTTGGAAAGCGGGCTATCTCATAAAAGTCTTCTTGCACTTTCCTTATTTCAGAATTTGTTTCAGGAAATTTTATAAAGTCTTTGTGTAGGGAGGCTATTGCAGCAGTTACTTGATGTACAATTTTGTTTGCAGTGGGGGTACTCATACCTCCATAGTCACCAATACTCATCTGCGTAGAATTAGTTGTATAGAACCTCAAAGTTGCTAACAACTGATTTATCGGTGATATGGAAAAATTTCTGTAAAATAAAATTAATTATGTTAGAATCAAGACACTGAAAAAGACAGAAGTCTGCAGTAGACCAATTCAGTCACAAACTGGCTTAAGAATGCGTCGAACATTCCGGAGGTAGACCACCAGCCATTTTGCATATTGTTTTAATGATAAAGTTTATAAACAAGTAGGTAGACGGATACTGTACCAAATAGATAGCTACATTATTTATAGGTAAGTACCAGACAATGTACATACTCATCGGTTTGACGAATATTCCAACTCATGCTCAATTTTAGTTAGCAAACAAAGAGTGGCTTCCTTGGATAGACGAAATCTAACAGCGAAGTCTTTGTCATCATAATCTTCGAAGTGATTAGCTCTTTCCTTTATCCACCTTTGACGCCTTGGCACATAATCATCGTCGCTATCAGATTCTTCTATTATATCTCAACCTTTCCATTTTGGCGAGATTTTGATTTAAAACAACATAAAAACAAAGAATATCAACACGGACTGATGATTTTGACAAGATAAATGTACATAACCTAACATTTCATTATTCCTGGTTTAAGGTTTTACTCCACCAAAATCGGCCTCATAAAGTTTTTTTTAATAGAAGAGGGGTAAACGAGCATGCGGCTCACTTGATGTTAAGTAACTACCACCGCCCATGATCAACCGCAACACCAGGGTAATTGCAGGTGCGTTGCCGGTCTTTTAGAAAGGAGTAAGCTTTATTCTTGAAGGTCCCCAGGTCGTATCGGTCCAGAAAGTATACTCTCGTATAGTGACTTTAGCCATGGGTTAATTATTGGTAGAATGCACATTGATCTTACTCTCGAGTTCATCTTAGTTCTCACGGGTGATGACGCATCTGGATTTTGATTCGTAATCGATGATAGATGTAGATGTCTATAGATCACAGCAACCACTTACCATCAGGTGGACTGTGTGCCCGTTTGTAATATTATCCTATAAAAATCTTTACATAAAATTATTTATGTTCTTTTACGTCAATGCCAAAATTTGGATAGAATTCCGTATCCTTGGGTTACATAGATTAAAAATCGTCTGTAACGTAATACCAACGGTGACCTTATATCACAACGTGGTTGAATCACATGCTAATTGGTGTTTGGAAATCTTAATCCTGGGTCCATTTAACAGCAGGTGAACTGTTTGCTAGTTTTCCCACTAACTGCAATAAAAACCAATACCTCCAAATAACCTCGTACACTTAATATTTAGGTAGAAATTTAAGGTAAAGCAGTTTTGAATATAGAACTTGTTTTAATAAATTGCTTTACAACACTACAAGTTTGTAATTTGATACAAAACATTGTTTTTTGATACAAAACATGCTTACATTATAAGTTTCTTATGTAAATTCTTTTGAGAATCGTAATTCGATTTGATCATCCTTAAGTTTGGGAACATCAATAAGAGTCATGTCAGAAGAGTCATGGTCAGAATCACCACAAGTTAATGTCACCTCAGTTTTCAACTGATTTTTGTAAGGAATTAACACTCGAAGTACATCGCCTTCAAAATACCATGTTGCATCGGTCATTTTAAGGGAATCTGGCAAAATCCGCAAATCTTTAAATGAATCAGTGCCCAATTTTTTCGCTGTTACATATAGAACCCTATATTTAATCTTCACAGTAATACTGTTTTCGTCAAATTCTTGCAGATAATATTTGAGTTCGTAGAAATTCAGGCCTTGGATCACTTGCGTTCGATGATAAGTACTCTTGGCACAACTGTTCTTACGGAAATTGTCAGCAGCGATCACGCATTGAGCAAGACTTTCGAAATCCTCGTCATCATTTTTGGGTTGAAACCATGGGTGTCGCCAGCGACCAATTTCACCACAAGTGCGTTCATAATGCCAAAAACAAGACGCAAAGTTCACGAAAAGTAGAAAGACGATTGAACGGTACATTGCCTTAATTCAATTTCACATCTGAAACAATTTAAACGTGGACAGCATTTATACATGCGTTTATCAAATAAAATAAATAAATGTCAACTTGATTTCTGTAATCTTCAACATAAAATGAACCCTCACATATGCTAAGATAACAAAAATAAAATATAAATTGAATTTATACTTTAGTAATCACCAATATTCTTGTATGATGACTGACCGGCCTCAAAACATTATCTTAATAATAATATATTATTGATTTCGTTGATGTCATTATTATATTATTACTGCGGTATAGAATTTGATTTTGTTACCTTTTGTAGCGCCTTATTACATACTAGCTTTTGCCCGCGACTACGTCGGCATAGAAGGAAATGGTTTTCTAATAGGATTTTTAATTGTTTTTTTACGTTACTAATTTTGTTATATGTTGTAATATATAAATTATAATGTTTATATTTTTGAATACTTATAAAAAATAATAATCTTTCTTATAGTGTAGTGATTTAAAGGTTAAATAAACATGAAAATAAAATATAATTTTCTTATATTTTATGAACACGAAGCTCTTATCTTTTTACAACGAAATCGAAATACTATACCTACCGCAGTATTTATTTGTAAACAATATTGTTGCGTGAATAAGTCAACGTCATACACTAGCGCCATCTAGTGTCAGGAACTAGAGCGAGGGGAGCTTTGCAGAAAATGACATCACAAATCTTTCAACCGATAGCGCCATCCGAAGAACTAAGTTTCTAGAAAATCTACATTCGAACACTCGTCGCTTTGCGCGCATTTACTTGAATATTCCGGATGCTTCATTGCTAATTTGTATATATAGGCGCTGCAAGATGCGATCGGGGCAGTATTGGATTTGGCGAGACAAGCGAAGCTTCGGAGCGGAATAAAGTGAATTAAACAAATTATTTGTGTTTTAAGTTTTAATTTGTGTAAAGTAAATTAAAGTGTTAATTTAGGTAATATTATTGGTAATTTTTATTGTCACGAACCTCAAGCTCGTAACAATTGGTGTCAGAAGTGGGATAAAATCATGCCGATTTTACCTAAGGAGGAAACGGAGGGTGTCCGTACCCGAAGTCAACGCCAGCAGGAGACAGACCAACGAAGATTTGGTGGTGCAACGCCGCAGACGTCGGAGAACCAGCCACCGGTTGCAGGCCCGTCGGTAGCTCCTACATCTGCAGCACCTGACTTAGGTGCTCTGATGGTGATGCTGCAGGAGCAGGCTCGCCGACAGGAGGAGCAGGCTCGCCGATAGGAGGAGCAGGATCGACAGGAGGAGCAGGCTCGCCGACAGGAGGAGCAGGCCCGTCAGTTGAAAGAGCAGCTGCAGAGCGAACAAGAGGAACAGGCCCGCCGGCAGGATGAATAGGCCCGTCGTTTAGAAGAGCAACTCCAACGCGATAAGGAAGAGCAGATGCTCCTCATGAAGGACCTTCACGCTATCTTCGGAAAAGAGATACGGGAGGTGAAGGATAAGGTTGCTCAACATGATAACCGCCTGTCGGAGGCCGAAACCCGAATCGACCAATTAAACAATCGGGTTGACAACGTAATGGCTGACGTGAAGAAAACGCTGGACGACCTCAAACTTGGGGATGGAACAACAGCTCCCGTAGTAGCTACAACACCTTCGCTACGTGGATTCAAAGTGCCGCCGTTTGACGGTACCTCTTCCTGGTCAGCCTACAAGATCCAGTTCGAGGCTGTTATGAAGGCGAACTGCTGGAATAAAAATCAGGCCATGACTGCTCTCACACTAGGCCTGCGCGACCGGGCCTTAACAGTTCTGGAAGCTCTCGGTGAGGAAGTGACTTATGAGCAACTCCTTGAGGCATTGGAGGCGAGATATGGCGACGCTCACCTGGAACACGTCTTTCGTGCGCAGCTTAAAGATCGCGTGCAGCGCATCAACGAAAACCTGCAGCAGTGGGCTCTAGAGGTGGAGAAGCTGGTGCGAAAAGCATACCGGTCTGTACCTGCGCTCATTGAAGGGAACCTGGTGCAGACATTCATCGTCGGCATCCGTGACCTGGAAGTCAGAGCTGCTGTGAGGCTCAGGCACTACGAGACGCTTAAGGACGCCTTGGCCCATGCACTGGAAGTGGAAGCCGTGCTGCAGGATCATCGTTCCCATCGCGTCAGGGAGGTTGCAGCAGCTACAGTTCGCGACCGCAAGAAAGGATACAGCCCAAGGTGCTATGGCTGTGGGGGAAAAGGGCCATCTTCGATCCAGCTGCCCTAAGCGAACCCTAGAAAGATCTGAGGAGGGTAGTGCGGCCAACAGCACCGCCCAGCAGCAGCAGGGAAACGAGTAAAAGCCAGAACTGCGGGGCGGGTGCTGGCTGATGTTAAAAGAGCCCCAAGGATCTCGACCTCACAATCCCATGATGGGAACAGTCTAATCATCAAGGGCGAGGTCAACGGAATGCCGTGTAAACTGACCATAGACACTGGAGCCTCTCGTACGGTTGTTAGTTTCCAACTTATAAGTCAGTTCCTTGGGAACTCCGCATACAACCGAGAACGCATTAATTTGGTAACAGCCACCGGTCAGCGTATACCCGTCCGTGGAGAGAAGGAGATGGAGTTGAAACTAGGCAACGTGATCTACCTGCATAATGTCATCGTGGCTGATATAATGGACGACTGCATCCTAGGCCTAGACTTTATGAGGAATAATTGTTGTGAGATCGACGTTAAGCAATGTGTTTTGAAATGTGGACAGGAGGAACTTTTTATGGAAGGTGCGTTACCAGGGAACGTGTACAGCATTAAGAGATTGTTCTTCCGCCGAGATCGGAAACGATTGTTCCGGTTAGTCTTCCTCGAAACGCAGGGCAAGCTAACCGTTGTGTACTTGTGGAAAGGGTAAACAATGACCTTCCATGGAAAGTAGCTCGAACCTTGTTCAGGACCACTGACATCTCAGGAGTACGTGTGCTGAACCTTTGCGACCGGGAACAGATTATAGAAAAAGGCACACTGATTGGTACTTGTGAGGAAGTGGATTGGTTACGTCGGTGCCAATATATATCGAGTGGGACCCCCAGCAAGGATGCAGAAACGAGAGTGACCACACTTTTGGAAGACTGAAGCAGTGTTCTCTCCCCGAACGAATTCGTCAAGGCGTAGAAGTTGTTACTCAAGTACGCCGATGTATTCTCATCAGACGATGCTGACATAGGAAAGACTGGCTTAGTTCAACACAAAATAAACACAGGAGAAGAATTGCCTATCCGTCAGCGGCCAAGAAGATTGCCGGTAGCACGTGAAAAGGAAGTGGAAACCATGATTGAAGGAATGGTGAAGGATGGTGTTATTGAACCTTTCTCTAGTCTATGGTGTTCACCAGTGGTGCTGGTGAAGAAGAAGGATGGCAGCATGCGGTTTTGTGTTGACTACCGCCGTCTGAACGACGTTACGAAGAAGGACAGCTATCCCTTGCCAAGAATTGATGACACGCTGGACATGCTTACAGGAGTAAAGTGGTTTAGCACGCTGGATCTAAAAAGTGGCTACTGGCAAGTTGAAATTGACCCTAAGGACAAGGAGAAAACTGCGTTCTCGACGGGAAAGGGTCTGTGGCAATTTAAAGTAATGCCGTTTGGGTTGTGCAATGCTCCAGCAACGTTTGAAAGGCTGATGGAACTTGTACTTACCGGGCTAATTGGCGATGCCTTTCTGGTCTACTTGGATGACATCATCATCGTAGGCCGTACGTTTGAGGAACACCTTCAAAACCTCGAACGCGTGCTCATGAAGATTCAGTGTCTCAAGTTGAGCCCGAAGAAATGTTCACTATTCCAACGGCAAGTTCACTTTTTGGGGTTTGTAGTATCGGAAGAAGGTATCCGCACAGATCCAGAGAAAATCGCCGCTGTCAAGGATTGGCCGGTTCCAAAAGACAAGACGCAGGTTAGAGCATTTTTGGGTTTGTGCTCCTATTACCGGCGATTTGTGAAGAACTTTGAAGATATAGCCAAACTTCTGCACAAGCTAACCGAGGAGAAGCGACATTTCTGCTGGGATGAAAGTTGCAATATCGCATTCCAGGAGCTCAAGGACCGTCTGTGCAAAACACCTATTTTGGGATACCCCGATGCAAGCAAAGAATTTATAGTTGACACAGACGCAAGTTATATAGGACTTGGTGGTGTGTTGTCTCAACGGAATGGTGACCAAGAGGTCGTGATAGCGTACTTCAGCAAGTCGTTGTCAAAACCGGAAAGGAACTATTGTGTCACAAGATGCGAATTGCTCGCTGTGGTAAAGTCGTTGCAGCATTTTAACAAATATCTTCTGGGACGAAAATTTCACTTACGAACTGACCATGCTGCACTAAAATGGCTATTGCAGTTTAAAAATCCAGAAGGACAAGTTGCGAGGTGGATGGAACTACTGCAGGAATACGACTTTGAGATCGAACATCGCAGCGGAAAATCTCACGGCAACGCAGATGCATTGTCAAGAAGACCTTATCCCGAAGATTGCAACCATTGTACTAGGCAAGAGAGTAAGGAAGAGGTATCCGTGAGGATGCTCAGGACGGACCACCCCAGCAACGAATGGAAGGACAGCTTACAACATGCACAGCAGGAAGATCCGGACATCAAGCCGATTCTGGAATGGATAAAGGCCAGTGCTCCCAAGCCTAAGTGGAGCGACGTCTCAGCAATGAGTTCGACCACTAAAAGCTATTGGGCCCAGTGGGACAGCTTGCTGCTTCAGGATGGAGTTCTGTGCCGTAAGTGGGAAAATGTTAGGGGAGACAGCTGTCATTTGCAAATGGTTGTCCCTAAAGCTAAAGTACCGGATGTTCTACAGCTGTACCATAATGATTGTTCCGGAGGCCATCTGGGAGTTAAACGAAGATCCGAGAACGGTTTTATTGGGTCCACTGTCGAAACGATGTCGAGGACTGGTGTCGCAAATGTACAAGTTGTGCGGCTGTAAAGGGACCTCAGACTCGTAGTAGAGGTGCATTGAAG